TGAATGGGCTAAGCTAAAGATTCCTAAAAGTCCTTGTCACAACTCCCCCTAAAACATTTATTTTCTTGCCAAGACTGGTTTGGCTCAGTGGATAGAGCGTCAGCCTGCAGACTCAAGGGTCCCAGTTGGATTCCGGTCAGGGGCATGTACCTTGGTTGTGGGCACATCCCCAGAAAGGGGTGTGCAGGAGGCAGCTGATTGATGATTCTCTTTCATCGATGTTTCTAACTCTCTATCCCTCTCTCTTCCTCTCTGTAAAAAAATTAATAAAATATATATTTTTAAAAACATTAACTTGCTTTAAAATATTTTATTGATTTCAGAGAAGAAAGGAGAGAGAGAGATAGAAACACCAATGATGAGACAGAATCATTGATCAGCTGTCTTCTGCACACCCTCTATTGAGGATTGAGCCCGAAACCAAGGCATGTGCCCTTAACTGGAATCACATCCGGGACTCTCAGTCCAGAGGCCTATACTCTATCCACTGAGCCAAACTGGCTAGGGCTCCCTCTGAAACATTTAATTAAGAATAAACTTTCATTTTAATCCTAGGATATGTCTTACTGATTTTAGATTTGAGAGAGAGGGGAAGGTGTTTGTGTGTGTGTGTGGTGGGGGGGATGGAATATTGATTATGAGACAAACATCAATTGGTTACCTTCTGTTCCCACCCCCACCAGGGATCAAACCTGAAACCTAGGTAAGTGCCCTGACAGGGAATGGAATTGGCAACTTTCAGTCCACAGGATGATGCTCCAATAAACTGAACCACCCTACCAGGGCAAGAACAAACATTTTTTAAAAATATATATTTTATTGATTTTTCACAGAGAGGAAGAGAGAGGGATAGAGAGCCAGAAATATCGATGAGAGAGAAACATCAATCAGCTGCCTCCTGCACACCCCCCACTGGGGATATGCCCACAACCAAGGTACATGCCCCCGACCGGAATCGAACCCGGGACCCTTCAGTCCCCAGGCCGACGCTCAATCCACTGAGCCAAACCAGTTTCAGCAAGAACAAACATTTTTAATTGTAGAAAAATGCTTTCTCCCATCTCCAAGTTCAAAACCAACAAGGCCTATGACTCTACCTCCAATAATAACACCACTGTGATACTTAGGGATAAAAGGATGAACAACCCTGGGATCTCAGACTGGCTCAGGTTCAACCCATAACACCCCCCAGCTATGGGCCTCTACTACTTTGTTCTTCTGCTGCTTCCGCCTCTTCCACTCCAGTTTCCCAAAGAGCCTTGCTGGAGCAGTTGCACAGCTTGGCTCTAATAAGGAAGGTGGCCAAACTAATGAGTAGCAGAAGGGCATGTGTGTGCATGCTCATGTGTGCCTGTCCCAGCCCGGCCATCCTGTCATTAGACATTTATCAGCCCGTGCTGGGGAAACACCTTCATTTGAGAAGACTAGGCACCAGTCTCGGGAGGGGTTGAGGGAAGGAAAGGCTTAAAAAGGGCTCATTATAAGCATGGACCAAAACACAAGACCAAGCACACTGTGGCCCTGACAAAAGCAGGGAGGTCAGGACGCCTAGATATATATGTCTGAGGGGAATGGTGGAAACTGACTGGATGTGGGGGTGAGGCTGGAAAGAGCATGGGATGAGGAGTGCAGATGACAGGGCCAATCATATGTGCAGGTCTGTTCCCTCTCCCCATGGGGGCCTCCCTTACCCCCCAGCTCCGTGCTGTGCTGGAGCTGGGTCTGGTTGGTCTTCAGAGGATGATGCTGTGGAGCAAAGAACTTGGATGTCTTTGCAGCTTCTTCCCGAGAGCCTCACAGCTCAGCCAGGGGGCTCCTGGGAAGAGGGCTGAGGCAGTCCCAGAGGATGCCTCTTCCTCCTGTCAGTCTCCAAGGACCATCTGACCTGTGAGCGCTAGAACTCCTGGTCCTTGGCTATTCAAAAATCTGAGATGCAGAAGACTCCTAAACACGTTGCTCTCCAAGTGTGTTTCATTTTCCAGTAGAAGTTTTGGGGTTCTTATTGGAGAAGCTTAGCAAACACCAAGGAAGGTGCTAGGGAAGGTAGTTGGCTCCTGAAACTTTCAGTTCACAGGTCCATAAGGCAACTCAATGCTCTCAACTTCAGGCCTGTGTGTCTACCGGCCTGCAGTTCATCATCTGGATATCCTAAGCCATCTTAGGCTCCATGTTTCCTGAAATACATTTATTATCTTCCCTCCCACCCAACATCCAGGCTTCTGTGTTCTCTTTTCAACAAATGGCAAAACTATCCGTCCATTTATTCAAACTAGAAACCCAAGAAGTTTTCTCCCATCTCTGATATCCAACTTCCATGTTGCCTAATCCAGTGGCAAATTCTGTGCTCTCAATTCACCCAGCAGCTCAGCAGCATCCAAATCAGATGTCCACTCAATCTGGAGCACTCTCCCCTCTTGCCTCCATAACATCACACCCTGTCAATTTCCCTTCTACTCACCTGCCTCTTCTCCTCTGCTGAACTGCTGTTTGAGTACCTCAACTCATGTCTTGACTACGTAAACCCTTGTATTATTATGCTTCTCCAATTCCTTCTTTAAGTATGGTATAAGTGCCTGAGACTACCAAATCTGAATTTCTCCTCTAAAGCTTAGGCTCAAAAATCCACCTGCTTAATTGACACATATCCTCAACTTGTTTTGTCATAAATCAAACTCTGAAGCCACATGTGTTAAATCCTGCACCTCATCTTTTTTTTGCCCCAGTAAGAATCATCCATCCACCAAATTGTTCAACACTCACAACCTAAAAGCCATGTTTGATTCTACCTTTTCCAGCTAGTTCAAAACCAACAAAGCCAATAGATCTACCTCAAAAATATGTCCCAAATTGTCCACTTCTCTCCATCTTCACCCACCATCAGCTTGGTCCATGTCACCATCATCTCTTGCCTAGACAACAGTAGTAACCAATCTTCCTGCATAATACTTAAAATCCCAATGTACTATATACATATAATTTATATCAATTTAAAAATCATGGGTAATTGATTTGATCTGGCCTCTAACATCACAACCAACAACTCTCTCCCTTGCTCTACATTCCTACCATACTGGAATTCCTTTGTCTTTAGAACATGTTAAGTCTTTCCTGCTTTAAGCATTGGTGTTCCCTCTACCCAGAACTATTCCCTTTAATTTTTACTCAGCTTCAGTGTCACCTTCTCAAAGACAAGTAACAGAAAAACTAAAAGTGGCTAACTGAGGGATTTTTTTAAATTTATATATCCAAATCCTAAATTGGGGGTTTTCTGTAATTTGTAAAAATAAGTGGCCCAGCAATATCATCAAGGACCCAGGTCCTTTCTATCTTGCTATCTACCAGTCTTGGCTGGTGGGCTACCTCATTATCCAGCCCTCACATACTAATACCAAAACTTACTATGTCTGTGCTAGCCAGTTTGATTCAGTGGATAGAGCGTTGGCTTGTGGATTGAAGAGTCCCAGGTTCAATTCTGGCCAAGGGCACATGCCCAGGTTGCAGGCTCCATCCCCAGTCCAGCAGGAGGCAGCCAATCAATGATTCTCTCATCATTGATGTTTCTATCTCTCTCTCCCTCTTCCTTTCTCTCTGAAATCAAAAATTTCTTATATAAATTTTTTTAAATGGAGGCACGAGTGGTACAGCTGAATAAACAGTCCTTCTTGGACCAGGCAATCTAAATTTACCCCCACTTTTTATAATGTTTAAATACTGAAGTATGGTAGCAACCATACTTAGGTAAAAACTGCTGTGTGAATTTTAAACCTGCTATTCTTGCTTTTGCATTCACTTACTTGCTTAAACAATAGGGTAGTTACCTCAGCTTCCAGATTGAGACCTAGAAACTAAGGCAAGATTCCTGTGTCTGTGGACCAGAACCACAGGAGATTGATTCCCACTGACTCAGTAGCTCCAGGAGTAGAAATTGCAGATAACCTTTGGAGATTAACTTGGCTCAGTTCTGCTTCTGTACTAGCAACGTCCAGCAGGATGTGGCTGGGAAAGACCCTGTGGGCTGTTCTCAGCCTTTAGAATTTAGAATTTAGAACAAAGGAAATTTTTTGTGGTTTAGACTTTTCAAAGGACTGCCTTACACCTGGAACAGCGCGATCGTGAGTGTGGACTCCACCTGCGTGTGGTGCCCTCACAGCCGTCCTGGCCAGTTCAATAAATCCTTGCCTGTTTTGTTTTTTTTTTAAATCAATTAGCAGCCTCCGGTGGTCTTATTTTGACTCCAGGGTTCGACCCCACAATAAATACATTTAAAATTTGTTTTCATAGTATTTATCACATTTTGATGCAATAATAGGCCAAACAGGCTCTGAGAGGCCAAACTGCCTGGAGTTAAAGCCTGGCTACTAACAGCTGAGTTAAATGACTCAATGTCTGTTTCCTTATCTGTAAAATGAGGATGAGGAGGACAATGATATTACCTACCTCATAGGTTGTTGTGAGGATGAAATGAGTTGCTGTAAGGGTTAAATATGTAAAATGGTTAAAACAGCTACCTGGTTCCAGTTTATTCCTAGGGCCCAGCTGTATTCTGGAGATATTCTTGTATCGTAATAATAAATTCCCCTTTCTGACTTAAGCTCGTCATTTCTGGGGTTCTCCGCTGAGCGTCCTTCCCGGGCGCACACCGTCATTTCGCTTTGGCGCCATCTGGCGCCCTAGGTAAGTGACGCGCCTGCGCGCTCCCCGCCCTCTGCCCTTTGTCTCTTAACCTGGTGAATCTGGTACCCAGGCCTTGAAGACGCTCAGCCGGCGCTGAAGATTCCGGGGCTGAGGCCTATGAGCGCAGGCTTGGAGCTTGCTCTTATTGGTCCAGCCCGGGTAAGGGGCGGGCTATAGCCAGCTCCACACAAGTAACTGGCCTTTCCTGAGGCTCCGCCCCCGGAAGCAATCGCTAACGCCTGTGATTGGCCAGAGCATCTGGGGGCGGGCTCCAAGCTGAGCGCGGGGCTTTTCCGTGCTACCTGGGCAGCGGCTCGGTGGGCGACATGTCCACTGTGGGTGGGGAGAGGCCTGGGGCCGCGGGGGGCGAGGGCCCCGAAACTGCTCGCCCCTTCAGCTTCAGCCCGGAGCCCACGCTCGAGGACATGTAAGCGGTCTTTTCCCGTCCTGGGCTGGGCAAGTCACCCCTCTCGCCCTTTTATTGGGGCGAGTCCCTCCACGTGTCGGAAGAAGACTAGCCGCTGTGCTCGGGTCCCAGCTCTGCCCTCTGACCTCTGACGAGCCTTCTAAGCTCATAGTCACGACGGGCTTAGTGCACACCTGAGGCAGAGGAATAGTGAATCCGGTGAATAATGTTAAGGCCCGCCCTGAGGAAATCCTCTGTCCATGCTCTGCCCTCCAGGAATGGGCGAGAGAACGTAGACAAATGCAGTGAGAGGGGGAGGCATTATTTCTTGCTGAAGGAAACCAAGAAAGGCTCCTTAGGGGAAGTCCCCGCGGACCTACAAGGCCTCTAAGATCCTAGGCTTTAGATATGCAGAGACAGGGGTGTGCCAGGTGGAGGAAACTGCAGCAGCAGCAGCTACAGGAGGTGGAATGGTAGAGGGCATTGTTGGGTTTCCATGGAGGTTAGGGTCTGTGTAGGGGCTGGTCCATTTTATAGTCCCCTAGAAAAAACATGACTGAAGGCCATTCAACGAGTTACTTGCAGAATCCTGGCGGAAACCCATGCCCCCATTACAGATCAGAGATAGCTGCCTGGGCCCTGCATCTCCTCCCCCATGCCCTAACCCTGAGGCTGGGCTTCCACACCTTTCTCCTATACCAGCCGCCGCCTCCATGCTGAGTTTGCTGCTGAAAGAGACTGGGACCAGTTCCACCAACCTCGGAACCTCCTCCTGGCCTTGGTGGGGGAAGTGGGGGAGCTAGCAGAGCTCTTGTGAGTAGATGAAAGGTTTCCTGGAAGAATCTTTATGTGTGTGTGTGTGGGAGGGGGGGGATTGGGGGGGAAAGAGGGGTGGTATTTGATCATCAAACATCCACGGGTTCAAATTCCCCTTCTCATTGCCCAACTCTGTTCCTGGTGCTGGGGATACAGATGACTCAACAGTCCCTGCCCTTGAGGGGTGCCCAGCTTCCTGGGAGAGAAAACAGCAAGGCAGACCTTGGTCTAAGAAAGAGCCAGGAAATCTTCCTTTACCTCTGCCTCTGGGATAGAAAAGAATATATTCTACTAGAGGCCCATGCAGGGGTGGGGAGGGTCCCCTCAGCCCAGCCTGCACCTTCTCCAATCTGAGATCCCTTTCACAATCAGGAATTGCTGACTCCCAACCATTCACCTGCCTGCCTGCATTGTCCCTAACTGCTTCTGCCAGCCAGCCTGATCACCCCCTAACCACTCCCCTGCCGGCCCAATTGCCCTTAACTACCCTCCCCTGCTGGCCTGGTCATCCCCAACTGTCCTCCCTGCAGGCCTGGTTGCCCCCAACTGCCCTCCCCTACAGGCCTGGTTCCCTCCGACTGCCCTCCCCTGCTGGCCTGATTTCCCACAATTTTTCCTCCCCTGTTGGCCATCTTGTGTGTTGGAGTGATGGTCAATTTACACATTACCTCTTTGTTATGTAGGATAGAGAACCCGCCTATGGCACTCCAGGCAGAGGCGAGACTACAAGTGCATAGGTGGTGAAGTGGGAAAGGGCAAATTAAGTTCAGGGAGAACTCTTCCAGTGAAAGTTTCTCAAGGAAGAGCAGGGAATTTGTATGTGCTTTGTTCTCTGGTGTTTTCCAAGGGCCTGGCCCATGACATCCAGTAGATATCTACTGAGTAAGTGATGGGCTGTGGAGGAGAGGGATGGGATATGCATCCAGAATGATAAGATTGGGGTTAGGGATTGGTGGAGTTTGGACCGAAGACCTGACCAGATGTGAGCAGGAGGGCGAACACTGTGTCAGCGGGGTGGATGAATCACCAAAAGCATTAGGGCAGGGAAACCAGTGAGGAGGCGGGTGCAGATTAGGCCAGAGGTCATGAGGCCCAAGCCAGTGAAGTCACAGGGGAGTGGAGAAGTTAGGGCACAGAGATGTGTGTGGGCAAGACATTCGTTTATTATGGATCTATGAGCATCCTCTGTGTACTCGCTCTTCTAGAATCAAGATAGGGGCTTTAACAAGACAGACATTGCTCCCACCTTCACAGTGCAAGGAGACTGACAGTAAATTAGAAAGCTTTTTTTTTTTTTTTTTTTTTTTTCCATTTCAGAGAAGGAGAGAAAGAAAGATCAATGATCAGAGAGAGTCATTGATCTGCTGCCTCCTGCTTACCCCACACTGGAAATGGAACCTGCAACACAGGCATGTGCCTGACTAGGAATCGAATCATGACCTCCTGGTTCATAGGGCAATGCTTGACCATTGAGCACACCAGCCAGGCTTATTTTAAAACATCAGTAATTGTGATAAGTTCTATAAATAAAATAGCACCAGGTTGTGAGAAAGAAGGAAACGGAGGGAGAAGGCTTTTCTGAGGAGGTAACATCTGAGCTGAGGCCTGGGCAACAGAAAGGAGCCAGCCATGGGGAAGCTCGGGGGGAGCAGGAAGACGACCATTCAAGGCAATGGGAGCAATAGTGCAAAGGCCCTGGGACACTGACCTGTTTGCAAGTCAGAAAAGGCCAGGGTGACGTTTAGGTAGGGAGTTAGGGAAAGTAGTGGATTATGACAGTGGAAAGGGCAGGAGTCATTCAGCTCATGTAGGATTTTATTCCAAGCACAACTAGGGAGTTTTAGCAGAGGGACAAACTAATGTGTAAATGTGTTTTAAAAGTTGATGCTGGGGCCAAAACCGGTTTGGCTCAATGGATAGAGCATCGGCCTGCAGACTGAAAGGTCCCAGGTTCGATTCTGGTCAAGGACACGTACCTTGGTTGTGGGCACATCCCTGGTGGGGAGTGTGCAGGAGGCAGCTGATCAATGTTTCTGACTTTCTATCTCTCTCCCTTCCTCTCTGTAAAAAAAAATCAATAAAATATACATAAAAGATGATGCTGGGCAAGAGTAGATGAGCCAGCTGCTTCCCCGGAAGTCTAGGTCTGAGATGGAGTCTGGGGTGGCAGCTAGGGCGTGAGAGAAGAAGAACTGCATCTTGACAAGTGAAATGATCTCTTGCCAACTCTTTGGCTCGGGTAGGGACACAGAAGTCTGGGTGACTCATCTTTGGAGGCCCTTCCTCTACCCGGGGCCCATGGAGGTTGGACTGTCGTTGGGGGAAGTTCCTAGGACGTGGGAATTCATTGCTGCAAGAACTGGGGTGCCCTGGGCGGCGGAACCCATTGTCCTAGCTAGCATCTCTGTGTGTGTGCCTCTCTGTGTGTTCCATCCCCAGTCAGTGGAAGCCCGATGGGGAGCCTGGTCCCCAAGCCTGGCCCCCTAAGGAGCGGACAGCCCTTCAAGAGGAGCTTAGTGACGTCCTCATCTACCTGGTAGCATTAGCAGCCCGCTGCCGTGTGGATCTTCCCCAAGCAGTGCTCTCCAAGATGGACACCAACCGGAGGCGCTACCCAGCACATCTGTCCCGTGGCTCTTCTCGCAAGTACACAGACCTGCCCCGTGGGGCCACCTCCGAAGACCAGACTGTGGGGACTGCAGACCTTGCCTGTGAGTCCACTGGTCAGGCCTCAACCTAGAAACATGGAACCAAGATCTGCAGCTCAGCATGCGAGGAAAACAGTGGCCTGCCCAGGGAACCTCATTCTAGTCCTTTCCTAACAGATCACAGACCGAGGGGCACGTCCTGAGGTCCGAGGCTCAGGAACCTCTGGAAGACAGCCTCTTGGTACTCTTCTCCCTCAATAAAAGTTTTGTTCAACCACCGTCAGGTTCTTTGTGGGGAAGCTGCATCTCAGCAGGTGCTGAAGAGGGCACCAGGGCTGCTTCTGGCCCCACTCCCATGTTTCTCTGGTGTAGCTCCCACCTGCGGGGAGAGGTCTGATTTCTAGCGGGTTGCCCGTGAGATTCTAGCCAGTTTCCTTCCCCTTCGGGGCCTCTAACAGATTGGAGGCTGTGCATAGCTTTAGAGCCCAGATTTTTGAGTCAGGCCATCAGGGATCAAATGCCATCTTTCATACTTAGCTGATGGTGTTCATTGATTTCCTTATCTAAAATGAAAATAAAGTGCCTACCTGCTAAGGTCTTAAACTTAGATGAGCCCAGCTGGTGTGGCCCAGTGGTTGAGCGTTGGCTTATGCACCTGGAGGTCACAGTTCCATGCTAGTCAGGGCAGATACCCGGGTTTCCGGCTCCATCCCCAGTAGGGGGTGTGCATGAGGCAACCAATTCTCATCATTGATGTTTCTGTCTCTGAAATCAATAAAAATGTAAAAACAAACAATTTAAGTGAGTTATTACTGTCAGTAGAGTGCTTAGGACAGTGCCAGGTACATAGGACTTTGTAACTACAGTTATTAACTTTCAGATCACGAGCAGGAAATGTCAACAGTTGAGTTAGGCCTGGGTCCAGGGCTAAGCGTCAGGCCCCGGCACAAACCGGCATCACATCTCTGATGTAGAGCAGAACAGGGCTTCCTCTCCTCTTGGACTTGGGCCTCTTGCCCCTTCACTGCCATCTCCAGACGAATTTCTCCTTCCACTTCTATCCCTAAAAATAGTGTTAGGTGTGAAATTTACCTCTTGCATGACCTCAGACACATCTTTTTTCTGAGATGCCCATGGCCTGGGGTAATGCTGCAAAAAAGACCTTTAAATTACTTCTGCTGCCCTTGTTAACCTCTTTCCACATCAGTAAAATGAGGGTTCCCCTTTACTGGCCTCATTCCTCTCGGTGACCTTATCCCTCTTACCAGGTCAAACTCCAGATTGGCACTGCTTCAGTTTGTGTTCCCAAGCCCACCCTGCTCCCTACCAGTGATGGTGGGAACATTATCCTTACTGGTTTGACTTCATTACCTCTCCTTGATCAATTATCTTCCCTCTATGTAATCAACTTCTCTTCCTTTTCATTACCTCTCACCAGAAGCACAAAAATGGACTCTCCCTAATGACAAAACCAACAAACTCCCCAGCTACTGCCCTCAGTTTCCACAGCCATGCCTCTTGAGAAAGGTTGTTACACCCACCCATTCTGCTTCCCCATCCTCCCATTTATATCCTAACCCACTATCACACCACTGAAACTGGTCACCACTTCCCCAAATTCCTACAACCAGAGGGCACCAGAGCAATATCTGACCACTTCCTCTGAAACACTTTTTTTAAAATATATTTTTATTGATTTCAGAGGAAGGGAGAAACATCCATGATGAGAGAGAATCGTGGATTGGCTGCCTCCTACACGCCCCCCAGTGGGGACCAAACCTATGACCCTTCGATGCGCAGGCTGGCACTCTATCCACTAGGCCAAACTGGCCAAAGCTGAAACACTTTTCTTTAGATTTCCCAAACGAGGCATTTTTGAATTTGTCTATCTCTGGCTGTTCTTTCACAGGTACCTCTTGGGTACCCTATTCTGGGTGAGGGGTCATGCACTTCAGACCCCATATCCCATGCACTTCAGACCCCATATCCCACCCAAGGTGTTCTTTTCAATCACCTCTCTGACCCCTCCACGTTGACCTCACATTCCACATATCCAGATTGGGGGTAACAATTGCTGCCACTTCCAACTGTTGGACTCATCCAGTACCATCTATGACACTACCTGTGGTCATCCATGCTAAGAAATGAAGCCAGCCCCGCCTTCCTTATCCCCAGAATTCTAGCTCCTTAATATGCCCCTCCCTTTTTCACTCAAGGCTTTTGTTGCCTTGGGTACTGTCACCTGGCTTCTAAAACCCCTACTGGTCTATCTCCTGCCAACCTCCTTGCTCTCTGTCCCTGTCTTCAAGTTCTAACAAGTCGGGCAAGCACTTTCAGGGACTCTCCCTAGTTCCCACTCTTTTAGCCTTTACCACCTACTTAAATATAACTCTAAACTCCTAAGATTGCATTAAGATCCTAACAACTCCCCCGTCATAGGCAAATGACAATGGGCTGCAAATGCCTGTATACTTGTCCCAGCTCTGCTGTTCCCTGTCAGTACTTATTTATCTGCAGAAATGGAGGTATGATTACCTAACTTGGATGCTGCGAATAAAAATGAGCTGGCAATAATAAAGCACTTAAGTCTTTCACATAGTCCTATAAAATACTGACAGGCCTGGCTCAGTGCTGGAGCAGGAAACTATGAACCAGGAAATCATGGGATTGATTCCATCACGGCACATGCCCAGGTTCCAGGCTCCATCCCCAGTATGGGGTGTGCAGGAAGCAGCCAATCAACGATTCTCTCCCATCACTGATGTTTCTATATTTATCTCCTTTCAATATATATAGAAAATATTGCCGAAACCTGTTTGACTCAATGGATAGAGCATCGGCTTGGGGACTGAAAGGTCCCAGGTTCGATTCCGGTCAAGGGCATGTACCTTGGTTGCGGGCATATCCCCAGTAGGGGGTGTGCAAGAGGCAGCTGATCGATGACTCTCATCGATGTTTCTATCTCTCTCCCTTCCTCTCTATACAAAATCAATAAAATATATTAAAAAGTATTATCACTTCACTATACTGATCCCATGATGTTATGGCTACTCGCCAAAGCTCTGCAAAATTCACTGCCTGTTTAAGCATGAATGTGCTGTATTTATGGACCCTTCCAGATCAGAGGTTATGAGGACATAACCAAGGGCTGAGGGTGGGATGACTCCACACACACAAACCCAGTTCCATGACGATTCACTTAAGTCACTTAACCCTGGGGAAACCCCAACTTTGCTCCTCTCCCCATTAACCTCATTCACAGGCACATGTGCGTGAATATATAATACTTTATTCACTAACACGGGGCGAGGATTGTAGTGAGAGGAAAGAGGCCGCGGTTTCCAAAAATCCCAGTAGGGGATTAACTATGTCTCCCAGGTCCCGGGCAGCCAGTTCTGCCATCCCACCCTTCCCCAAACCAGGGTCCCTGGGTCCCTGTCCAGGTGAGTCCAGCCCCTGGGGATCTGGGCCCTGGCATGCTCCTCAGCCAGCACTAGCAGCCCACAGCCACCAGGGGGCTCATCTGCTCTCGCACTCGGGGCAGCGCTCAGTGACAGTGGTGGCCTTAGAGCCAGGGGGCAGCTTGAAGTCTCGGCCGCACACAGCGCAGATATAGAGACGGCGCATCATATGCGAACGGCGGTGGCGGACGAAGTTTGAGCTGAGGCGGAAGCGCTGTCCGCACTCGGTGCAGGGGTAGGGCCGCTCGCCCGTGTGCGTGCGGGTATGATCTGCCAGGTTGGACCGGTGGCGGAAATAGCGGCCGCACACGGTACAGAGGTGCGGCTTCTCGCCCGTGTGCACGCGCCGGTGCTTGGCCAGCGCCGAGCTCTGCGCGAAGCGCGTGCCACAGTCGGCACAAACGTACGGCCGCTCCCCCGTATGCGTGCGCCGGTGGCGCACAAGGCACGAGCTGCCGCCGAAGGCGCGCCCGCAGTCGGGGCAGGTGTAGGGCTTCTCGCCCGTGTGCACGCGCAGGTGCTGCGCGTAGTTGGAGCTCTGAGCGAAGCGGCGCCCACACTGCGTGCACGCGTAGGGCTTCTCGCCGGTGTGGCGCCGCCGGTGCTGCTGCAGGTTCGAGGCGGCCGAAAAGCGCTGGCCACACTCAGGGCACTCATAGGGCCGCTCGCCCGTGTGTGTGCGGCCGTGCTTGGTCAGCGCGGACTTCTGGGAAAAGCCCCGGCCACACTCGGGGCATTCGAAAGGCCGTTCACCTGTGTGTGTGCGTGAATGCTTGGCTAGCGTGGACCGGCGTGCAAAAGCACGGCCACATTCCGAGCACACGTGTGGGCGCACCGGGTCTGCAGGAGGCGCTGGTGCCGCCCTCGGGACCTACGGGGAGAAAGGGGACAAGTCAGTCCTGACCCACAGGCCCAGGAGCAAGAGACCTGGGTCTCCGCAAGCTGCACGCTCAGTCCCGCTGATGGAAAACAGGACAGCCAGGGTGCCGCCCTCATAGCACTGCTGTGCACATCAAATTAGGTGCTGCATTAATGTCCATAGCACATGCCCTGTGTCATTCTGCCTGTTCTTTAATAACTCAGCAAGTGGGTTTTGTGCGCCGGCGGCCGCGGGAGCCGCACCGCGACTCGCCCGGCGGAGCACCGGGCGCCGGCGCAGCCCTGTCGGTGAACATGGAGGAGCTGCGGCACCAGGTCATGATCAACCAGTTCGTGCTGGCGGCAGGCTGTGCGGCCGACCAGACGAAGCAGCTCCTGCAGGCGGCCCGCTGGCAGTTCGAGACCGCCCTGAGCACGTTTTTCCAAGAAACCAACATTCCCAACGGCCACCACCACCCCCAGATGATGTGCACCCCCAGCAACACGCCAGCCACACCGCCCAACTTCCCCAACGCCCTGGCCATGTTCTCCAAGCTGCGCGCGTCCGAGGGCCTGCGGAGCGGCAGCCCCATGACGGCCACGGCCTGCTCGCCCCCCGCAAGCTTCAGCCCCTTCTGGGCCTCGTCCCCGCCCAGCCACCAGGCCGCCTGGATGCCGCCCTCCTCCCCGATGGCCCACAGCTTCCACCACCTCCACCACCCACAGCCCACGTGGCTCCCCGGAGCCCCGCGGAAGGGGGGGGGGGGGCGCAGAAAGCCATGGCCGCCGGGATGGCCAGAGATGAGACTGGACACGCCGCGGGGCTGAGCTGGCAGTCCGGGTCGTGGGGACACAGGCGGGCCGGGCGGGTTTCCTGAAGATCGCACTGGAAGATTTTATGAAGGAATTTGGGGGGTGGGGGGACAGTAAACTTCCTGAGCCACTTGGGTCCTTCAGGAGTTTCTCTTCAGGCAAGTTTTTCTGTTTTTAATATATAACTGTAATATATAAATATAACTAACCACACACACACACACACAAAAAAAATAACTCAGCAAGTGGAGAAGCCAAGATGGCAGCATAGGTAAATGCCTAACTGCAGCCTTGCATAACAATTTCAAAAAAATACAACTAAGCCGGGACCGGTTTGGCTCAGTGGATAGAGCATCGGCCTGCGGACTGAAAGGTCCCGGGTTCGATTTCGGTCAAGGGCATGTACCTTGGTTGCGGGTACATCCCCAGTAGGGGCTGTGCAAGAGGCAGCTGATTGATGATTCTCTGGCATGGATGTTTCTAACTCTCTATCCCTCTCTTCCTCTCTGTAAAAAATCAATAAAATATATACTTTTTAAAAATGAGGAACATTTGTAATACTATGAACAATAAAGATTTATTAAATAATAATAATTCAGCAAGTATTTATTAAGGACATACAATATGCTAGACTGTGTTCTAGACACTGGGGATTCAGTATTATATTTTTTTAACTAGAGGCCTGGTGCACGAAATTTGTGCATGGGAGAGGGGGTAATCCCTCAACCCAGCCTACATCCTCTCCAATCTGGGACCCCTTGAGGGATGTCCAACTGCCCACTGGGATCGGGCCTAAACAGGCAGTTGAACATCCCTCTCACAATTCAGGCTCCCAACTGCTCGCCTGTCTTCCTGATTGCCCCTAACTGCTTCTGCATACCAGCCTGATTACCCCTTAACCACTCCCATGCCAGCCTGATTGATGTCTAATTGCTCCCCTGTCAGCCTGGTCACCCCAACTGCCCTCCCTTGTAGGCCTGGTGTCTCCTAACTCCCTCCCCTGATGGCCATCTTGTGGTGGCCATCTTGTGTCTACATGGGGGCAGGATCTTTTACCACATGAGGAAGCCATCTTGTATGTTGGGGTGATGGTCAATCTGTATTCTTTTATTAGATAGGATAGAGGCCTGCTACATGGGTGGGGGCCCAACTGGTTTGCCTTGAAGGGTGTCCTGAATTAGGATGGGGGTTACCTTGGAGCATGGGGTGGCCTGGGCGAGGTGCCTGTGGTAGTTTGCAGGCTGGCCACGCCCCCTCCTCCCCCCCAAGACCCAAGTGAAGGCCCTGGGATCTGGGATTTATTTATCTTCTACAATTTAAACTTTGTAGCCTGGAGTGGAGCCAAGCCTCCTGCTTGCTCTGTGGCGGCAGCCATTTCTGTTGGAATTTATGTACCTTCTATAATTTAAACTTTGTACCCTTGAGTGGAGGCCTCGGCAGCCAGGGTGTGCCGAAAGCTTGACTTCCTCCATTGTCAGGGAAATCCAAGCCTCCCTCCTGCTCTCTATGGCTGAAGCTATCTTGGAAGGGGTTAATTTGCATAGTCACTCTAATTGGTTGGGCGTGGCTGAGGGGTGTAGCAGAGTGTGGTTAATTTGCATATTACTCTTTTATTATATAGGATTTCTGCTTACGGGAAAAATGGATGAGTGCCGATATTGGATGAATGCTGCAAATTTAAATAAGTTTAAAAAACTATCAATGTAATAAGAGCAAAAACTAAGGAAGTGAGAAAGCAGGCTACAGAGGGCACAGCAAGACCCTGAGGCAGGAGTTTTGCCAGTGAAGCCCCAGGAATAGCAAGAAAAAGTGCCTAGCACAGAATGCATGGGGAGGAGAGTAATGGATGAAGTGTTCCTGGAGATCTCTTAGCCTAGGACCCTGTAATATGAAAGACATGGGAGGTGATGTCAGAGGAATGATTGTGTAAGGCTGCATCTTTTCCTCAACCTGGAATTTCAAAAAGTTAACCATGTATAATTCAACAAAGAAATCCCTGCTCAACACAGACACACGCCTGAGAGACCTGCGTGCTGAAACTTCTAAAGGTGGGCAACCAGGAAAACGGGAGACAAGAAGAACGGAAAGCATAGATGGCCCCCAGATCAGCCCTGTAGTCAGGAGCTCAAAGCAAATGGCAAGCAGTGAGAGTGAATAGTGTCTGAGTCAGCAGACGCCTGACAGAGCACAGGATTCTGCCATGTACATGTGGCTCAGAGACAGACATTGGTATTTCAGACAAAGAAATGTACCACAGAGCCCTGCCACTGCTTGGACTCCCAAAATTTGCCTCCTGTTGCCCTTGAAGTCAAGTTCAGGAGCATATTATCTGTAAACCAAAAGCTACTGCAATAGAATCCCTGTTTCCCTCTGTGACTGAGCCCCAGGAGGGGTGTTAGGGGTGGGATCCACAGAGGTCACCATTACGATGAGGGTAAACAAATCCTATCAAGCAGCACAGCTATTCAGTCTTAGGGGAAGCAGCGGAGGTTCAAGACCGGGAGATCAGAGGTAAAAATCTTGTGATTCAGCACCATCTACTGGAAAACAGTAGAAAGACCTCTTCAGAGATAAATGCATAAGCAAAGGAAGACAGCAAATACCATGAAGAACCACAATGATGACGATGACCAGAAAGAAAATGAAAAAATCCTCAGAAAGCAGGCTGGAACACATGGAAATATGTGATATAAATAGAGATTTCGCCCTACCTGGTTTGGCTCAGTAAATAGAGTGTCGGCCCACAAACTGAAGGGGCCTGGGTTCAATTCCAATAAAGGACACAAAACTTTGTTGCATGCTTGATCCCCAGCCCCAGGCGGGGCATATATGGGAGGCAACCAATTGATGTGTCTCTCTCACATCAGTGTTTCCTTCTTTCTGTCTCTCCCCCTTCCTTCTAATCTCTCTAAACATCAATGGAAAAAATAAAAATTTAAAAATAATAAATGACAGAGATTTCAAGATTGCAGTCCTGAAAATAATGAGATACAAGAAAATACTGACAGGCAATTCAGTGCACTTGGAAAATAAATCAGTGAACGAGTACTTTACCAAGGAAATTAAAAACTTTTAAAAGGACCAATAAGAAGGACTTGTATACATGCATATAAGTACAACCAATGGACATAAAATTCTGGGGAGGGAGGGTATGTATGGGAGGAAGGGGGCAAAAAAAAGCAATAAAATATATTTAAATAAATAAATTTATAAATAAAATAATTTTTTAAAAAAAGGACCAATAAGAAATCCTGGAAGTGAAGTATGCAAATAAGGAGATGAAGAGTAAACTACTGAGCATAGAAAACAGAACAAATGAAATAGAGGAAAGAACTAGTGATATCGAAGATAGGATCAAGAAATGGTGCAGAGGAAAGAGACCTGAGAATAAAGAAAAATGAAAGAGCTCTACGAGACCTATCCGATTCCATCAGAGAAAGCAATATTAGAATTACAGGCATTGCAGAAGAGGAAGAGAGGGAGTATGGAATGAAGAGTCTATTAAAACAAATAGTGGGTGCAAACTTTCCAAATCTATGGAAAGAACTAGATCCTCCAGTAAAAGAAGCAAACAGAAAACATGGTTACCTCAATCCAAAAAGGCCTTCTTCAAGGGCCTGTCACAAATAATGACAAAGAAAAAAATTCTCAAAGCAGCCAGGAAAAAAGGAAGTGACCTACAAAGGAAAACCCATCAGAATCATCCATCCTCTCAGCAGAAACTCGACAAGCTAGAAGAGAGTGGAAGCAAATAGTCAAACTCCTGAAAGAGAGAAATTACCAGCCACAAATAATGTATCCAGCGAAATTATCCTTTAAATATTAAGGAGAAATAAAGACGTTCCCAGACATACAGAAGCTGAGGGATTTCATCACCAGAAAACCTTCCCTGCAGGCAATACTCAATGGAGTTATTCTACCTGAAACAAAGAACATAAGACCATAACACTACAAGTAGGTTCAACAACAAACCTACAACAAAAAAATTTGGACAACAAAAACATAAAAGGGGAGGGGGAAAGGTCTGAACTGGAAAAGAAAGATGAAGATCAGATTCACTTAAAAGCGAAAAAACTGCCAGGCTGGTGTGGACTTATGAACCAAAAGTGGTCAGTTCAATTCCCGGTCAGGGCACCTGCCTGGGTTGTGGGCTTGATCCCCAGTATGGGGTATGCAGGAGGCAGCCAATCAGTGATTCTC